GGGGAGTGAGAGACAGACATAGAGAGGGGGGAGTGAGAGACAGACATGGAGAGAGAGAGGGGACTGAGGGACAGACATGAAGAGAGAGGGGAGTAAGAGACAGACATGGAGGGGGGGAGTGAGAGACAGACATGGAGAGAGGGGGGGGACTGAGGGACAGACATGGAAAGAGGGGGAGGAGGAGACAGACATGGAGAGAAGGGGGACTGAGGAGACAGACATGGAGAGAGGGGGTTACTGAGAGAGAGACATGGAAAGAGAGGGGGGGACTGAAAGACAGACACAAGAGAGGGGGGAGTGAGAGACAGACATGGAGAGGGGGCTGAGAAACAGACATGGAGAGAGAGAGGGCAACTGAAAGACAGACATGGAGAGAGGGGGAGTGAGAGACAGACATGGAGAGAGAGAGGGGGACTGAGAGACAGACAGAAATGGAGAGAGAGGGGGGACTGAGGGACAGACCTGGAGAGAGAGGGGAACTGAGACAGACATGGAGAGAGGGTAGACTGAGAGACAGACATGGAGAGAGGGGGCAGTGAGAGACAGACAAGCAGAGAGGGGGGAATGAGAGACAGACATGGAGAGAGAGGGGGGACTGAGAGACGGACATGGAGGACCGAGAGACGGACATGGAGAGGGGAGGACCGAGAGACGGACATGGAGAGGGGGGAGTGAGAGACAGACATGGAGAGGGCGTGCTGAGAGACAGACATAGAGAGAGGATACTGATAGAGACATGGGGAGAGGGTGGATGAGAGACAGGCAAGGAGAGTGTGTACTGAGAGACAGACATGGAGAGAAGGGGGACTGAGACACAGACATTGAGAAGGAGGGACTAAGACAGACATGGATAGGGGGGGCTGACAGACAGACATGAAGAGGGGACTGAGAGGCAGGCATGGAGAGGATGGGACTGAGAGACAGGCGTGAAAAGGGGGGCGGGGGACTGAGATGGTGGGGGGGAGGAGGAGAGACTGAAAGAGGGGAGGACTGAGAGATAGACTTGGAGAGAGGGGGGACTAAGAGACAGACATGGAGAGAGGGGACTGAGAGACAGGCATGAAGAGGGGGGCTGAGAGAGTCATGAAGAGGGGGGGACTGAGAAACAGACATGGAGAGAGGGGACTGAGAGACGGGCATGAAGAGAGACAGACATGGAGATGGGGACTGGGTGACAGACATGGGGATTGGGCGACAGACATGGAGATCGGGACTGAGTGACAGACATTGAGAGAGGGGGGACTGAGAGACAGACATGGAGAATGTCAGAAGGAGGGAGCTGAGGCTGTCAATGGGAGGGAGGACTGAAAGACAGACATGGAAATTGTCAGGGAGTGTGGGCCTGAGAGAGAGGTATGAAAACTGTCAGGGAGGGGGGTACTGAGAAAAAGGCATGGAGATTGTCACTGGTGGGCTGAGGGAGCCTAAGCACACCAAGTAGTTTTCTCAATAGGCAGTCTTTTTTCAGGAACAAGTTACATCATTATTTCAGCTCTTAGTATTGAGCCTTTGTCAATCCTTGTCAAAGGCTAAATACAGGAGCCGAAATGTTGCTGTAACTTGTTCCTAAAATACAAACTGTCTATTGAGGAAGCTAATTGGTGTGCCTAGGCTTGTTTTTTTTTCCATTCTTTATTTAGTCCTGGGAAGTATGTAATACAAAACAGATAGTTAACATAAGCGCACAATACACCAACATGGTATAAAATAGCGGATCACCAAGTATAACAATAATTCGTTTACTGTAAAAAACAAAGCCAAAGATGGTCATTGAAACATAACAGCATAAATATCGGCTTGCCTTAGGACTGCATGGTATAGTTTTGGGCCGGATCGTAATTCTTTGGTGAGTAGAGAAAAAGCATAGAGTGTTTACATATAATATACAAATAAAAGCACTGTATCATCTGTAAAGCAATGAGAATAAATAGTAGTTTATCCCACTGTCCAACAATGTATGGTGAGCCTAGGCTGTTTGTGCTTTGGTGATTCGTATTCGCTCAATGGAGCACCCTTGTGGGGACCTATTTCTCCTTACGTGTGCTTTTTTTTTCCTGTGACTTAACAAAACTAGGGGCCTGGGAAATAGACATGGAGACTGTCGGGGAGTGGAGGGATGTGAGAGACAGACATGATGTAAGATCACATACTAGACTTGATGCTCCAGCCTAAATTTTGCCGCCCTCAAGTCATTCTGGACGCACTTTTGTTGCTTCTTGTCTTAACCCACAACTTGAAACTGTTCATTCCTAAAGTGAAGTGGGTTGTGACATTGGCATCTCTTTGCAGTGGCAGTATTGATGTGAGTGCGCATGTTTACCTTACGCAGGTTGATGATGTTAGGACCTAATCCCTTTTAACCTGTACCTCCCTGTGATCAGCGACATTTTGTGGTTATAGGCTCCGAAGTATGTTATTTTGGTGTATTTTTGTCTTATCTGGTTTTTGACCCTGCTAGTACCAGCTTCTGCTATGGTACCTATGAGGAATGAAAGTAGAAGCTGAAATAAATGGGAACAAGTTAGAACAGTCAGGGAAAAAAGTAGAAATTGCCATAAAATGGTACAAGACCTTTCATAAACTGGAAATATTCTTTAATGTTGAAAAGGGAGTAAAAAAAAGCAGAAACTACCATTAAAGGTAAACATCATGGCACAGGTGGGATTAAAAGCAGAAAAATGACATACAAAGAGATGATATGCCACTGAAGGGAGTAAAATTACAGAAATTGGGAATAAAGAGGGAATAGGACAGAGATTGGCAACCTTCGGCACTGCAGATGTTTTGGACTACACCTCCCAAAATGCTTTACCAACATTATGTGCATTGCAAGGGTGAATCACTGCACATCCAGACTCCTATCACCATGACCACTTCTAATCACTGAAATGGTTATGGTGATTAGAGTAACACTTTAAAGGGACACACTTAGCAACATAAACATTACAATTTGATTTATTCTAAATATGTTTACACGTGTGCGCAATGTACCCTACTCCATAATAGACTGAGTGCTGAACAACTCTATCTCACCGCTCAAAGGCTACTTCTGTGCAAGGTGAACTGTGCAAATTTGTATGAATGAGAAAATTAAGGAGTTTGAAAAAAAATGAGAGGACCGCTTTCAAAGCTATCTTTGGCAATAACAATTATGTTGGCTTTTTGAGATTATGCTGCTTTGAAGTGTCCCTTTAAGGTATAGAATGTTATATGTTTTGAACATTATTTGTTTGTTATATATAAAATGTTATTTACACATTTATTTAAATTAAACAAAAAGGCCTAATGTCTAAGCAAGCATTTTTTTTCTTTCTTTTTTTTTTTTTGCACAGGTTCTACCTGTCTAAGACCCAACTAAATGATTAAAACGGCTATGTCACCATATGGGCTGTTTGCATATTTGTTTAAAGACCCTCTGACAGCTCTGCTGGGTTTCTGGTGGCCTCGGGGAGCAGGGGTAGGTGAGCTTTACTTATGTAAACATGTCCCGTCCCCCCCCCCATAGGCACAACTGCGATCTTCTCTTCATGTCCATACACCCCATATGCCAACATCATTGTTGCAGGATCTCATGAGACCGTGTGCATATAGGAAATATATTAACACAAAGTAGGGGAGTTTCAGTTACATTTCAACACAGTCAATGTGAGTATTTCATGAAGATTTTATCTTTATGAAATACTCATTTTGGAGGGGGTAGCACTTTAAATATTTGTTATTGTCTTTAATTTTTAATAAAAAATGTAGTACTTTATATAGTGTATTTCATTGTATTCAATTTATTATCACATACTTGCATAATGCAAACTAATTAATGAATTACAGTAATTTAAGCATGCCCAATATAGCTGATAAACAACAAGAAATTGGTATACTGTACAATATTTCAAAAATAATTTTGCCACTTGTTAAAATAAAAAATAAAAAAATGAGCTGCTCAGCCTTAAATGCTCGGTCCTATTTTTTGTCCCATAGAACTAACTATTAAAGGTAGTATGAGCCTCAGAACATAACATCCACAGATATAGGAATGTGAATACAAAATGTACACTCTATGATGTCTCTGGAAAGCATAGGTCGTTTAAATGCCAAGTAGTCAGAAGGTCACGTCCTCTCTTTCTTTACTGATTTTCTGTTAGCTTCACCAAACACAATGAATTGCAGACTTTCGTAAAGTCATCGTGGCACCAGATGTTTTGTGGCATCTGTGGAAACCCTTTTCTTTATTGGCGTAGCATTGAATGGCAAAGTATCTGTTCTGCTTCCTATATGTGAAGAATGTTTTGTGCTCTAAATAAAAGACCTATTTAGAATATTTTGCTGCAGGTTGTTGGGAAGAAGGATATTGTGTCTGGAGTGACCAGTCTAAAGTCCTTTCTACAGCTGCTAGATGACATTGCTTTGATAACCTCTCGCGGGGATGAGCCCAGAGTGTTTAATTAATTCATACTTTTTTTTTTATATATATATAAAAATAATTCAGTTCAGGCATCTCCGTACATGTTGACTTGAGAGAAAGCAGTCAGAAAGGACACTGTTCCAATTGCTCTGATTTCATCTTTTGTGAATAGATGGGCATGACCTCTCTTCTGTTCCTTTACGTGATACATGAAGAGGAAGCTGGGGAGAAAAAAAGATATATAACTGGATAAAAGAAAAAAGGACCACAGGGCACTGAGCACACAAGACATTTTCACTGACTAAATCCATTTAGAAGGAAAGCGGTAAAGAAATGTTATGCCCTGTGGCAATGCAAATGAAGACCTTTCGATGGTCACATGACTTTTAGAGCATTTCAGAACATAGCCCACCTCTCGTCATAACTAAACATCTAATATAATTGTAACTGACTTCAAAATGCACAATAATAGCACTTTGTTGTTTTTTTAGTCACTGATATGTACACATGATTTGGGAGAAATTACTCGATCTGACAAAGCATCAAGGGAGATGTAGTACACAACATCTGGAGTGTCAAAGATTGCCTATCCCTGATCATTACTACCATCAGTAACTACTTAGTGCCCATGCACCCGAGGGCCACCCAATGTGTATTATTGCTAAACAGGCCCATGGAGGTGCCACAGCCCTTTAAGAGTCTGAACAGGTCCTTCAGTATTGTCGATGCCAGGTCTCATCAGGAACTTGGTCTGGTACTGAGGCCCTTTGGCAGCGCGACCGGGCTCCTTTAATGTGTGCAGAGCATGCTGGGAGTTGCTCCTTCAAGCCTAGAGACCGTGCAGGCTGGGACAACAAAGAGGCAGGAGGGTGCACTCCAAACAATTAGCTTAAGACTCCCATCAGCGGCAGCCAGCCCCAGGAAGTCACCTCCCTGCAACCAAAAGGTATGGAAGCAGGAAGGTGGTTAACAATATGTGAATTACAATTTGTGTGTGCCAATGTGTATATTTAGGTATCTGTAGGTGTCATTGTGTATCTCAGTGTATACCTGTGTGTGTGCCAGTGTGTATGTTTAGGTATGTGTGTATCTGTGTGTGCGCAGTGTGTATGTTTTGGTGTGTGTGTATGTGTGTTAGTATGTATCTTTGTGTGCCAGTGTGTGTATGTTTGTTCCAGTGTGTGTTTGTGTAGGTATGTGTGTGTATCTGATTGTTTGCCGGTGTGTGTAAATGTGCATCTGTTTGTGTCTGTGTATGAGCGTAGGTATATGTTTGCCTGTATGTGCCTGTGTTGGTATATGTTTGGATCTGTGCGTATGTCAGTGTGTATCTGTGTGTGCCAGTGTGTGTATATGTGTAGGTAAATGTTTGTATCTGTGTGGGTTCATGTGTGTATCTATATGTTTCTGTGTCACTGTGTGTGGTCACGTGTGTGTATATATGCATACATCCCAGCATTCAAACATCAAAACTATATACAAACTCATTCCTACTATCAAATGCCAACACTACATGCAAACAAATGCCAACAGTATGTACAAATACACTCCTTTAAAAAAACTATGTGAACAGACTTGATTTGTGGGATTTTATATTTGGTTCGGGAACCAAACATGCGCATGAACCAGAGACCACCCGGGAGCTTGTTAAGCCTAATTGACAGTTTGTAACACTTTCCAGCGCAGTGTTTTAAATGTTCGTCTGGGTTGCCGTTGTTGAAGGACCACGAGGTGACGGTCATCTTGTTCCCGCAAATGCAGGCAGCGGTCTTTGGTTGTTGAGTTCATGGAACTGTTTTCGGACACTGAAACTCCCGATCACCGCTGGACTTCCAGGATCACCTGCGTTCGGTTTCTCCACAACTTAGAAGGGCACTGTTTGGTGGAAATGCTCCCACAAACAAGGTGAACATGCTCCATGGTAGGACTCTTGAATATTCGGTAATTTGTTCTGTTTTTAAACTAATGAACTGCAAGCCCTGATTCTCTGGTACTGTTTTATGCAGGAGCCTCATGTGCTTTCGCTCAAATTATGACTTCCATGGAAATCCCGAACCCCTGAGCCAATCTGGGTGATTTTTTGATGTGTTGGTCATTTTTTGATGTGTTGCCCTACCCCAGACTCAGGAATTTGCCCCGACCCGATATAGACCCTGACCCTGGCACCGACCATACAGCCTAAAAACACTCCACCACTCGATAGCACTACATCAACCAAGGATACGAAAAGCGACAATACTAATAACTGCTGATACCACCAGACTAGACCCATTACTCACACTAACGCTAACGACACTCAAATGCTCCCACACTGGTGGCACACCCACTGGGTAATCTCGGACTTATATACCTGTAACGACAAACAGTAGATACACCGTACGTGGTGGGAACGCGAAGACTAGACCACTAACCCCCGCCAAGTCCGCGTGAACAAATTCGAACCACGGAGAGTCGATAGTTGGAGGTCGTTAGATATTCTCTGACAGACCCGACTACTGACTGCTACCGTGGTCACGCGAACCAACCCTCACAGGAGGGATTTTTGACACCTACCTCTAGGTGCCGTACTGTCCCCCTCTGGGGACGGCTAACCTACCTCTACCTTCATACCCCTGCCTAGGGGACTCTCTACATCTTTTCTCAAACTCCACCCTACCTCATCCCTCCCCATACGACTCTGATCCAACCGCCCCTACCCAACTTCTACACTACCGTCACCCCCCCCTGCCACCTCCGTGCCCACGGCATTTCCTAAAAGAGACGGGGCAGCACCCGACACCAGGCACCGACTAGAAGAGTAAACAAAACGTTAAAGGACATGGCGAACCACCCCCACCAATCGCAAATGGCCTACAAACCTGACCCTCTACGCATCACAACCATGAACTGCAGGGGCCTAAATATCCCGGAGCGCAGATCGCACCTTCTCCGAGAGCTTACCTCTAAGCGCGTATCGATTGCTTTCCTACAGGAAACACACTTTAAGGAAGGACATGCTCCGCCGTTGAAGAGCAAACACTACCCCACTGCGGCTCTCAGCAACCACCCGACTGCACGTAAGGCAGGTGTAGCAGTTCTCACCCATGCTCAACTACAGTTCCAGGAAGTGGAGCGACTGGTTGACCCTAATGGCAGATACCTGTTCATTAAGGGAGACATACAAAACCGTAGGTACACCCTCGCGACGATATACGCAACAAACAACAACCAATCACACTTCATACGTAAATCTCTCTCCAACCTCTCCTCGTTCACGGAGGGCACGTTAATCGTTGGAGGAGATATTAATGTCCCCCTCATCCCTCTCATAGATTCATCCACGGGACATAGCAGCATCACCCAAGGAGCCATCTGAAGCATTCAAAAAACACTAAAGAACCTTAGGCTGGTGGATTGCTGGCGAGCGATGCACCCGGCAGACAGGGAATACACTCACTACTCGGTGATACATAAGCGATACGCAAGGATTGACTACATCTTCCTTCAACAGGAACATCTTGACGCTATCCAAACAGCAGAAATTGGAACAGCAAGCTGGTCGGATCATGGTCCTGTGACCCTGCAAATGGACTCCCCTAGGGTACGCCCAACCGCTAGGTCGTGGCGACTCCAGGACTCATTACTCTTGGACCCATCAGTGAAGGAAAAGGTTTCCGAGGAACTCACCTCCTATTTCGCACTGAATGAGACAGATGATCTTCCCGCGACCACGATATGGGAAGCGCACAAAAGTGTGCTCAGAGGGACACTGATGCGCCTAGCTTCTCAGAAGAAGAGAGAATCTCGGAAACATATAACGGACCTGCTAACGCGCATAACTACGCTTGAAATGCAACACAAACGTTCACAACTCGAGGGGACATATAAAGAATTATTGGAAGCTCGAAGATCCCTACATACACACATGACGAAACGACACTATAGCTCCATACAACGATCGAAGGCCTTCTTCTACCAACACGCCAACAAAGGAGGGCGACTGCTGGCCAGAATGCTTAGAGGCCCCCAAGGCATGACCCAGGTACATAAACTACGGACATCAGATGGCACGATCACACAATTCCCGGACAAAATAGCATCCGAGTTTCGCACATTTTACGCCTCGTTATACAACATCCCGGGACCCACACTACCGGAGGAGGTAACACTCAGACGGGATAGAATAAGGAGTTATATCGAATCACACATGAAGACGAGGTTGCAGCAAGTGGAATCGGAGTCCCTGGATATACCGATTACGGAGGCAGAAGTTGCAGGGGCACTCAAGACCGCCAAAACGGGACGGGCCCCAGGCCCTGATGGCTTTACCTTGGACTACTATAAAAAGTTCCGAACCCTACTGCTCCCGAGACTCACCAACTCATTTAACGCCTTGATAGACGGCGCCCGACTCGGACCCGAATCATTAGCGGCAACTATAACGGTTCTCCCGAAACCTGGGAAGGATCCCGAACTCTGCAGTAGCTATAGACCGATATCACTGCTAAATGTGGACGTGAAGCTCCTCACTAAAATACTATCCACCAGAATAGGGAAAATGCTTCCGAGATTGGTCCATCCAGACCAGACGGGGTTCATCCCAGGGAGAGAAGCCAGAGACAGCACTCTTAGAGTGCAGGCCATCCATCACCTGGCAAAGAAATCAACAGATAAGCTCCTTTTATTGTCAACGGATGCGGAAAAATCATTTGACCGGGTTGACTGGACATTCCTTATAACCACGCTACGGGAAATGGGCTTCGGAGAGAACATGATGAAATGGATTGATGCGATCTACCACTGCCCCAATGCGAAGGTGAGGGTGAACGGAACGCTTACCGACTCCTTCCAGATCCACAATGGGACAAGACAGGGATGCCCACTCTCCCCCATGCTCTTCGCCCTAGCTCTCGAACCGTTCCTGGAAGCGGTGCGCACATCGGATACAATCAAAGGCTTCAAAAGCGGAGACACAACACACAAAGTAGCAGCATACGCAGATGACCTCTTATTTTTTATCACGGAACCGGAGGCAACAATGCCACACTTAGTCACTATGATCACGGATTACGGGGAGGTCTCAGGATTCAAACTGAACATGAATAAATGTGAAGTGCTTAACATTACCACCCCAACGGCCCAAACATCCACACTGAAGAACCAATTTCCGTTTAGATGGTGCGCAAACCATATGCGGTATCTAGGTATCGCAATAACCAGAGACCTAGGCGACATGTATCGTACAAACTTCCTACCACTACTACAACGAATCCAACAAGATTTGAAAACGTGGACATATCCACACATCTCCTGGTTAGGCCGGATCGCAATACTTAAGATGAATATTCTACCACGGCTGTTATATTTATACCAGACGATTCCACAAGCTTTACCGACGGCATATTTCGCGTCACTACGTTCCGCGATGGTGAAGTTCATCTGGCATGGGAAACAGGCAAGACTACGACAGGAAGTCCTCTGCCTACCCCGAGCATGGGGGGGATTGGCACTCCCTGACCTCCGCAAATACCACCACGCGACAGTACTACAACGCGTCCTTGAATGGCATACCCAACCGGAACATAAACAATGGATCGAATTGGACAAACAACATATAGGCCCCTCCTTCTTGACATCAGTGTGGAATACGAAGAAGATGCCGCAGACGAATTTGGAACCATCCTCTACCGTGGCACAGACACTGAAAACGTGGGACTATATCAGAAAAGCTACTCACGTCTCTCCAACACCGAGCCCGATGATCCAGATACAATACAACCCCCAGATAGGGGGAGGACTACCACGGACAGCATGGTCCTTCCTGGGAGAGAGGGAATCACACCCCATACATAAGGTGTTAACTAACGCAGATATGATCCCCCTGAGGGACCTAATAGAGGGTGACCAACCCACTAGCATACAGACCTTCCGTTATATACAACTCAGAACATATTACCGGACACTTCCAGACAAGGAAAAGTTACACAGGGACTTGACATGGTTCGAAACGCTCTGCGATCACAAGACTACTCTAGGTAAAGCGATATCCCTGCTATACCAACACGTACTCGTAGGGCACCTCACTAACAACGACCAATTCCGCAGACGCTGGGAACGCATGCTAAATACATCTTTCACCACATCCCAATGGGAAAAGATCCTCATATTACACCATAAATGCTCATCGAGCTCCCAATATCAAGAAACCAACTATAAACTTCTCTCATTCTGGTACAGAACGCCCGACAGCCTACACAGGATCTTCCCGAATGTACCTGACATATGCTGGAGATGCGGAGATGAACGTGGTTCGCCACTGCACATATGGTGGGAATGCTCGCTCATCAAGCCATTCTGGGACGAAGTTCTACAAAAAATAAGGGATATCACAGGGACGGAAGGAAACCTCAACGCAGAGGCAGTCCTCCTACACTCAACACCGGATCCCATAAGCACGTACAGGAAAAACATTCGTAGACACCTAATCAACGCAGCCAAGGCACTAATTCCATTATACTGGAAACAAACGAATACCCCGACGATAAGACAATGGTTGGAACGGGTGGAAGAAATATATAGAGCGGAATTAATACAGGCTACACTACGAGGACTAGAAGACAAGCATTTGGAGAGGTGGCGCCCGTGGCTACTCTACATAGCGGACCGAAACACAGAAACAGCTTTATCAGCATCGCTTGCTGGACCTGCGGCAACACTGGAAGAGGATTGTGAGGAAGAGGAGTCAGAGGAGGAATGTGGCTTTGAGGAGGAGGAGGAAGACCAACCACAACAGGCATCCCAGGGTGCTCGTTGTCACCTATCTGGTACCCGTGGTGTTGTACGTGGCTGGGGGGAAGAACATACCTTCAGTGAGATCACTGAGGACGAGGAACAGGACATGAGTAGCTCGGCATCCAACCTTGTGCAAATGGGGTCTTTCATGCTGTCGTGCCTGTTGAGGGACCCTCGTATAAAAAGGCTGAAGGAGAATGACCTGTACTGGGTGTCCACGCTACTAGACCCCCGGTATAAGCAGAAAGTGCCTGAAATGTTACCGAATTACGGCAAGTCGGAAAGGATGCAGCAGTTCCAAAATCAATTAAAAAGTATGCTTTACACAGCGTATAAGGGTGATGTCACAGCACAACGGGAATCTAACAGGGGAAGAGGTGAAAGTAATCCTCCTCCTCCCACGACCACGCCAGCAAGGACAGGACGCTTTACAGACGTGTTGTTGATGGAGGACATGCAGAGCTTTTTAAGTCCTACGCATCGCCACAGCCCTTCGGGGTCCACCCTCAGAGAACGACTCGACCGACAGGTAGCAGACTACCTCGCCTTAATTGCAGATATCGACACTCTGAGGAGCGATGAACCCCTTGACTACTGGGTGTGCAGGCTTGACCTGTGGCCTGAGCTATCCCAATTTGCGATAGAACTTCTGGCCTGCCCCGCTTCAAGTGTCCTGTCAGAAAGGACCTTCAGTGCAGCAGGAGGTATTGTCACTGAGAAGAGAAGTCGCCTAGGTCAAAAAAGTCTAGATTACCTCACCTTTATTAAGATGAATGAGGGATGGATCCAGAAGGGACTGACAGTGGGCGATACATTCTACTAAAAAAGGCCTGATGAGGGGGACGTAACAGGGTGTCGTGGCTGCCGGCCCGCCGCGTGATATTTAAATCCCTAGCTCACCCCAGTACCTTGACCTGTCGTGGTTTCCTGTTCCTGGTTTCCTGAGAGTGCTTTATCATTGTGAATCTGATTTCCTGGTATCCTGATCTTGGTTTTTCCCTGGTTATTCTGATTCCCTGGAATTCTGGTTTCCCTGACTTGGCTTGTGTAAACGGTATTGTGTATTTTCTGGCTTCCTTGACCTCGGGTCTCCCTTTGACCATTCTCTGTCTCTAGCGTATTAGTCCGGCCATTCTAAGGTCCGGTTTACGCTCTGTCCTTTTATTTTCCTTTTCTTGCCTATGTATATGTTTACATAGTTTCTGCGTGCTGGACCACACTAGTAGTCATGACATTGGAATTAAACTGATAAGAATAGTACTACTTAACACACCACTCCTATCTGGTGGCACATTAGATTGCATGCGCAGTGCCCCAAATTTGAAGAAGGAAGACCGACCAAGCATCTTTTTCCATCTCCCGGTTCCTAAAATCGATGCCATATACACGTCCCCTGATAGGGGGCGTAACAGGGATTAAACTGATAAGAATAGTACTACTTAACACACCACTCCTATCTGGTGGCACATTAGATTGCACGCGCAGTGCCCCAAATTTGAAGTAGGAGGACCGACCAAGCTTCTTTTTCCATCTCCCGGTTCCCAAAATCGATGCCATATACACGTCCCCTGATAGGGGACGTAA